ACTATGCTGTAACTGTGACGTCAGCTAGGCTATGCTGTAACTGTGACGTCAGCTAGACTATGCTGTAACTGTGACGTCAGCTAGGCTATGCTGTAACTGTACGAGATGGCGAGGCCATGGAAAACAACTTCAAACTAAACTATGCGTCCTAATTAGGTTTAGTCTCTCTAATCCGTGAAAAATTCGCTGTTCGCTCGATGTAAAAAAAACAAGGCACATGCTTGGCCTTGGAAATTTGCTGCTCGTGGTTATTCGATAAAGTCCCTAGGGAACCTCTCGAGGAAACGAAGCATTTGTTATTGTGGTGCATTTCAAGTTCTTGAATATTTTTAAAGCTACATATAAAATGTAGCATCATATATACATATATATATGATGCTACATTTATATGATATATATATATATATATCCATATTTATACACGAATTTTGCAACATATTTAAATGACACAAGTCCGTGTGATTAATGTATATTTGAATGCCGAGTTAGCTTTATGTTGTCTTTTATTGTAAGTTAATTGTGTCGCCATCTGTCGGACTGCACCGCTGTGTTAAGAGTATCACTTGCAGTCGTCTCTAACTCGCAATAATATTGATGTGGATGTAGCTTAGCAACAAACTAAAGACACTTGGCTGTGGCAGACGACATGTTCGTAGTTACGACTGCTTCCCCAGCACATACCCTCTCTCTCTCTCTCTCTCCCTCTCTCTCTCTCTCTCTCTCTCTCTCTCTCTCTCTCTCTCTCTCTCTCTAACTTTCTCTCTCTCTCAACCCTCCCTCTGTCTTGTCTCTCTCTTTCTTTCTCATGCACCCTATCTCTCAACCCTAGCTCCCTCTTGTCTTATTTTCTCTCTCTCACTCTCTCTCTCTCTCTCTCTCTCTCTCTCTCTCTCTCCGTCTCTGACTGTCTCTTTTTATCTCCCCCCCCCTCTCTCTCTCCATTACTAGCTGCAATAGCTTCGCAACTGACGCAAACCTCGCAATCTTTGTAGCAGATAGACAAGATACGCGCAACCCTGAGAGCAATTTTCGACTTGAATGCATCCGCGCTGCTACGCTCTCTCTCTTTCCCGCCTCCTCCTCCTCCTCCTCTTCCTCCTTCTCTTCCCCATCCCCCGATTGGCGCTCTTTTGAATTTCATCAGCCATTTCAGCAAGACAAATATTTACGACACTGAACTATGCACGCGAGCAAAAACTCGCGCCGCGTTCTACGCGTATTCGTGCTTTACAAAACCGTGGCTGCACTGTAAGCGAAGACGAAGACAGTGAAATCTAGTAAACGCAAAGGAATGCAGAGAGCGAAAACACAGTGACGCCGAAACGAACGCGAGTCTACACCGTCACGTCAACTTCTGCTACGAGTGTGGGGACATTGAATAAAACAATGAAAGTATTGCTAACTATCGCTGAGAGGGTCTATGTCCCCCGGGGTACTGCCGGAACGTACCCTGGGTACGGTCCGGTATACCGGAACGTACCCTGGTACTATCTAATATACCGTACCGTACCTCGCCTACTCCACTAACGAGTCTAGGTAGTCGCCTACGCCTACTCCCTAACCCTAGCCCTAACCCTAACCCTAATCCTAACCCTAATCATATCAAATAGTGACCAGGGTACGTTCTGGTATACCGGACCGTACCCAGGGTACGTTCCGGCAGTACCCTGGGGGACATAGACCCTATGAGCCTAACTATCACTGACTCCCCGTTGAAATCGTGGGACTGCCTGGCGGATGTTCTGTGTTATGTATTTGATTCTTATAACCGCTACGCGAACCATAACCTCTACATGATAAACCATGATTATTGCGTGTAAACCATTCTCAATGTTTACGCAAGCACGTCTATATTGTTTACCACTCCGTCAGCGTATTCGATAAACTTTTCACACGCGGTTCCTTCAACGTAGTTTACTGCTGATACGTCTCATCTCTCACGCATCTAGTCATGAACACGGCTATATTATCTACGTTATACATACAGAACATGTAGTATAGACGTGTCCATGCTAGAACTATGCAGAGCTCAGCAATTCCTCATCCCCACGACAATGATTTAACTCGATCACGAAGATACACTGCGAGACAAAACTACAAACTTAACTATACTGCTACTCACTGAAAGCTAAATGCATAGCTGGCGGTGACTAATGGAAGGCAACATAGACTTAAATAGCTACTCTAGCGGAGCTAACGCGAACGAGGCTTTCGAAATCGCTAACGACTCTCGTAAGGCGAGTAGATGGTGATTAGCAAATTGCGGATATATTTCTCGAGAAGTTCCCGACATTGGTTGCTGAAATATACACCAGTGATCCTCTTACTGAATGCTTATGTATGACAGAAGACTACTAATGACAGAAGGCCTTAATTAGAAGACTAGAACCTACAGAACCTTTTAGACCCTAAGGTAGAAACTCACATATTATTTATATATACCTATATATACCATTCTTTTCATATATATACATTGATGCGTGAGGGGAAATTAGCTTAAGAAACACCCATGTACGAGGGAAAATACATAAAATGAGAGTATGCTATTCTGCAAAAATTATGCAATTTTCGAATCCAGAAATACGCATACAGATATTCCAATTATTAATTCTGGACAGCTAACATATTGCTTGCAATATACTTTATATATTTTCGCGGAAGCAAAAACTTGGATCCTGGTATTTTTTTCTGTAAATAATAATATGTTGCGGGGGAGATTCTATCTCTAAAAACATGATATATGATCTGTTATAATCGTATTTTATTGCCAGCATTCCAAAGCTGGGCAGACTATCTACTCATATCATAAGACGCAGTGGCAGCAAGTAGAGCAGAGGCTCTGAAATCGATCTATACTAGCAGTGCAATACTCCCGGTTAGTCACAACCCCCTGCTATCGAAGTAAGCTATAAAATGAATACTAGTCTGGTGGTCCAAAACCTATCCACCCACATGTGCCGCCCGGTATAAATTGTTAAATAAGATCATGCAATTTTCATTTGGCAAGAATATATTTATGACGCATTTAAATTAATTTTAATAAGAAATGGCACGACACTAGAAGGCACGATTTAGTAACCCATTCACTCATCCATCTAGCTATCAAATTATCTATCTATCGATCCACCCAACCACCCACCAATCTATCCATTCATTTAACCATCCATTCGTCCGTCCGTCCATCCATCCGTCCGATCCATCAACCCGTCCAACCACCCACCCAGTAAATGCTTGTAAACGTATAAGTAAATGATTCACGTCATTGTAATTGACTGCGAGTTACAAAGATGCGCAGCAATTATAAAACAAAAACACTTTCTACAACCCTCGCTATTATCCAAAGTGAACTCCCTTTAGAGACAAGAGTTCAGCAGCAGCAACAACAGCAGCAGTAGTAGTAGTAGCATTAGCAGCAACAACAGCAGCAGCAGTAGGAGCAGTAGCAGCAGCAGCAGCAGCAGTAGCAGTAGCGGTAGCAGTAGCAGCAGTAGCAATAGCACTAGCAGCAGCAACAGCAGCAGCAGCAACAGCAGCAGCAGTAGCAGCAGGGGTCTGTGAGTGCGCAACCATGAAATTTACCTCACACAGACAAAGCTTGCCGGCTATAAATTGCAGTTCGTTTTACGAAGCTACAATTTCAACGTTACTAAAGTAACCAGTCAGTTAGCCATGCAGACACACAGACATCCTTCAAATAGTTGGTCACAGTCAGTAAGTTAAGCTGAACGGGTCTAATTCCCTGTAAGCATTGTTAGAATGCACCTTACCCTAACCCTAGCCTTAACTCTACCCCTAACGTTACATAACCCTAGTCTAACCATAATCTAAAATATCCCTAGGCTTAGTCTTAACTCTAGTCTACCCTTAACCGAACATAACCCCGGCATCCCTAACTCTAACACTAAATCCAACCTTCCAACTACCCTCACCCTAACGGCTAACCTAACACAATCCTAATCTACGGTACCCCCAGTACATCTCCAATTTCTGTATCCAGGGAAACAAGGACCGTCTTAGCAACAATCAGACACTGTCAGGCGGTCTGTCGTTCGGTCGGTCGGTCAACCGAGCAAAGCACACTACGACTACGCACGCATCCTGTTTATGCACAATAGAACGTCTCGGTACCACACTTTTTCTCGCACGGCTACCTCCAGCACTGATGGACCACCCTCTGACTGTGCCCCCGGGGGAGAAAGAAATCCCCGCAGCAGCAACAGGTTTCCGTGAATCGTAAGGGACACCCCGCGTGCGCGGTTAGGCCCCTCCGACCGACCGATCTAGGCCAGTCCCTGCCATCCCGCTCTTCGTTCGTGCTTCCCAGAATTATCACACGTGAAAAAATGCACACTCCTTACCAAGAATTAACGCTGATAACATCACGCCACGAGTGATGTTGCTGTGTGCAGGCGATCGATTCGAATATACAAAATTCCCAGACTTTAATCGCTAGCCGACTAATGTGAATCCAATGCAATGTTTCGCAATGTTCAATGTTAGAACAACGCGTTGTAAAAAATGCGTTAAATCATGTGTTCGCGTAGCTAAACGTGGGCTTTCGCGCAGATGCACTTACAGTAACGGTTGGTTAGTCAGGAATTAACCAGGGGTAAGGTAGTAATTAGCCAAGGATTAGCCAGCAAGTGGTTGCCCAGGGGTTTGTTAGTAGTTATCCAGGGGTGAGCCAGGAGTCATTCAGGGGTTAGTTACGAGTTATCCAGGGGTTAGCAAGTGGTTATCCAGGAGTTATTCAGAGGTTATCCAGGGGTTAGCCAAGGGTTGACCAGGTGTTAGCCAAGGGTTATGCAGTGGTTATCCAAGGGTTGTCCAGGGGTTATGCAGTGGTTATCCAAGGGTTAGCCAAGGGTGGTTATCCAGGGGTTATGCAGTGGTTGTCCAGGGGATAGACAAGGGTTGTCCAGGGGTTATGCAGGGGTTAGTCAATGGTTGGCCATGGGCTAGCAAATGGTTGGCCAGGGGTTAGCCAAGGGTTGTCCAGGGGTTATGCAGTGGTTATCCAGGGGTTAGCCAAGGGTTGTCCAGGGGTTATGCAGTGGTTATCCAGGGGTTAGCCAAGGGGTTTTATGGACAACCTCCAATACACAATTCCGAACACATCACACTCGTATCGGCGCCGCGCGTTACACGGACACACGTACCGGCAGCATCCAGCGACGAGTATGACCGTGACGATGACAGCACCTATAATGCAGCCGATGATGATGCCAACGTTGACGAAACCGACGTCTGCAACGAGAAAAGAGCAAGCGAACCTCATTACACCTCCTGCAAACGTGAGAGAGAGCGATGACGCGAGTGAATTGTGATCTTTAACGATGCAAGTTGACACAGTAGCTATAACGACACCCAAGTGAAAAACGACATGGTAGAAAGAAGGTACATAGGAAACAGCAGTGCTAAGTGACAATTACACACACACATACGCACGAACGTGTGCATGCATGAACACGCGAACGAACGCACGAATGCCCGCGGGCGCATGTACATACACAACTATAAGAAGAATATTGTTAACTTTGAATTCATACTCGAGGACCGTCATTGCTGGAAATCCGAAAGTAGGCAAGCCACGCATCACAATACATGCTAGCACCGTTTCATTTCACACCACTCACAATACAGGTGATACAATATAAAACATGAGAATAGACAGCAATAGGGGGGTTCACTGTGTTACACGTGTGCTGAGCTTGCACATCACACATGGACCACAAGTGCACAGAACACAGACTAGGTGAAGAGCGATCGGTGACAGACGTGTTCTGCCCTACTTCTTTCCCGGACACGCTCCAATACACAATTCAGAACATATGACACAATTTCTCAGAAAATGCCCAAAAAATGAAGTCAATGAAAGGTCAAGGCCACAGAGAGAAACACAGGTTTGTACACACAGTTTCTCCCATGAACAACGCTACCAAATACCATATACATCTCCACCAGAGCAATTCCTAGAAGTATATATGACTATGCATTACACTTCTTGACATGTTGTGTTTATACTGAGGTTGCTTGTAAGAAATGCATCCGTACCGTTAAACAAATATCACACGCATGCTAACATTACAAGCAAGCACTGTGAAATTGAAAGAGAAACAGCTGTATGCATGTACGATACTAAGACATTTTATTACCATCGCTCAGCTGTTGCATACAGTCAGCTTACGCACGTACAATCTAACACGGCACATTCTACACTATCAAATATATATTTGCACAACCTACTGGACACACCTTCCAGGATTCATTTTGTAAACATAAACACGTATTACACCATAAACTTTAGGTTATTAATATACAGGTAATAATAAAATACAAGTAAAAATATTCCGAAGATGTTTTTGGTTACAAATACATTAACCTGTCTGAATACTGTGTTCATGAACAAATGAATGAATGAGTGAATTGAATAATGAACAAATCAATGAGCAAATGAATGTGCAAATGAAATGCCACTCGGTATATTTAGGAGAGAAAGAGAGACGACAGGGAGAGAGAGATTGAGATGAGAGAGATTGAGATGAGAGAGAGCGAGAGAGAGAGAGAGCGCGAGAGAGAGCGAGAGAGATTGAGATGAGAGAGAGCGAGAGAGATTGAGATGAGAGAGAGCGAGAGAGAGAGAGAGAGAGAGAGAGAGATGAGAAAGTGAGAGCGAGAGAGAGATGAGAAAGTGAGAGAGAGAGAGAGAGAGAGAGAGAGAGAGAGAGAGCGAGAGAGAGGAGCGAGAAGAGAGAGAGAGAGAGAGAGAGGAAGAGAGGAGAGAGAGAGAGAGAGAGAGGAAGAAAGTGAGAGAAAGAAAGAGAGAGAAGAGAGAGAGGAGAGAGAAGAGAGAGAGATAGAAAGTGAGAGAGAGAGAGAGAGAAGACGAGAAAGATGAGAGAGAGAGAGAGAGAGAGAAGAGAGATACGAGAGAGGAGAGAGAGAGAGAGAGAGAGAGAGAGAAAGAGAGAGAGAGAGAGAGAGAAAGAGAGAGAGAGAGAAGAGAAGAGAGAGAGAGAGAGAGAGAAGGGAGAGAGAACAGAGAGAGAGAGAGAGCAGAGAGAGAAAGAGAGGAGAGCGAAGGAGAAGAAGGAAGAGAGGAAGAGAGAGAGAGAGAGAGAGGAGAGAGAGAGCGAGGACAGAGAGAGAGAGAGAGAGCGAGAGAGAGAGAGGAGAGAGCGAGAGAGCGAGCCGGAGAGAGAGAAGAGAGAGAGAGATTGGAGATGAGAGAGATTGAGATGAGAGAGAGAGAGAGAGATGAAGAGCGAGCTTGAGAGAGAAGACGAGAGCCGAGAGAGAGAGAGGAGAGAGAGATGAGAAAGTGAAGAGCGAGAAAGAGAGAGAGAGAGAAGAGAGAGAGGAAAGAAGAGAGAGAGAGAGATGAAGAGAGAGAGAGAGAGAGAGAGAAAGAGAGAGAGAGAGAGAGGAGAGAAGAGAAGAGACGAGAGAGAGAAGAGAGAGAGGAAGAGAGAGAGAGAGAGAGAGAGAGAGAGAGAGAGAGAGAGAGATGAGAGAGAGAGAGAGAGAGAGAGAGAGAGAGAGAGAGAGAGAGAAGAGAGAGAGAGAGAGACTGCTCTAGCTATCACTCTGCATTTATGAAACCCTGAACTCATGGCTCGGCTAGTGAAGCCCACAGCCCACAGCTGGTTGCTATTAGATGCACTACTCCGCTTCACAGCACCATAGCTCATTAATAGTCTCTCCTCCTCCTCCTCCTCCTCCTCCTCTTCCTCCTCCTCCTCATCCTCCTCCTCCTCCTCCACCTCCTCCTCCTCCTCATTGGCACAACATAAACCACAAACACCATGACCAGTACACGCGGAAACCCACGTGCGATCGTAACGGTCGTAAACGTGTACAATAAAATACAAAGTAAAATTGTCGCAAAAACATCGATGTGAAATCGTAACGCGTCAATAAGAGATTTCATTTCACCATACAGTAAATACCATTCACGAACACGTATAAATCTGGCTAAAATAGAGAAAAATAAATCTGGCTAAAATAGAGAAAATATGCACGACCCTGTAAACAAGAAAACAAACTTGTTTATCTTCCGTTTAAATAAACTCGTACGTAACATAGTCATACAATGACTTCCAACATAGAATACTGACCCGCAGGTGGAAAGGAATATAATACACTGTCACGTCGCTGATCTGCAGGCTACAAACATTCGACCTCTGCATCGTAACTTCTAAAGGTCATTCATTCATCATGTTGCTGCAAGATGCCACGCATGCTACAGCATGCCGCAATAACTAACATTGTAACAACCATGAAATATTCCAGGGTTAGTAAGCAGCAACCAGTGCAGTAAAAGCTTCTGATAACAAACAAACAAAATCATTACAAGCTGTGCCCACACACTTCGTTCCCTCACACCGTGACAGTGCAGCGAAACTTGAGCGAGACACCTAATCATTACGTGACACTGGTCTCTTGAGAATTGCGTAAACACGAGATACCAAAATGTTCCAAAATGGCAAAGTTTAATTTAATCAAGAGCCCAAAATAGAAAATTTCTATAGAATTCATATAGAATACTTTCCTATTATGAACTTGATTAAATTCAACTTTGCCATTTTGATTTAATGCATACCGATCCACGAACGATAGAGTTAGACTTAGCTCACAGAACAATCAACCGTTTATTTCTTATAATTATGATTATGATCGTTAACCGATGGTGCATAAATGCAGTTAATTGCTTCCTAGTATTTTTCTCAATTACTCAGGTAAGAGTTTTAGACTCCATGCAAGGATTATGCCACAACTACTAGAACGGCAAAAATATAATTAACAATATTTCGACTAATATAAACGGGGATAATTCAAGTTCGACAATAAAATGCTGCCAATTTGGCTATGGTGATAGATTTATAAAGGAAGAAAGAAACAAAAAAAACCTAATCGAAATAAAGCGAAGAAATGAAGATGAGAAAGTAGAAGAAGAAGATGAAGAAGAAGAAGAAAAAAAAGAAGAAGGAGGAGGAGAAGGAGAAGTAACAGAAATAGATGGAAGAAGAAAAAGAAGAAAAAAACAGAATAAGGAGAAGAAGAAGAGCAAGAAGAAGAAAAAGAAGAAGAAGAAGACGAGGAGGAACAAGTAGTTCTCAGGGACAAGGAATACTGCCACGCGAAGGGCGTTATACATCTAGTTTTTACATGCAAGGAGGCAGCAGCGCTAATTCTGCAATGCTGATGTTCAGCTCGCAGAAACACGCCTATATGAAGCTTCATAATTATCACGTGTATAAAATATTGCAAATAATTAACGGCGAACATTTCAATGACACGGCAATTAACTTGGATAAACACAGACAAAATAAATCAACCCGTGTAAAACATGTTTTTGCATTTCCTTTGGATACTGGCAGGCGGTTTACAAGAGTAAGAAAATCATGAAACAAGCGCCTCTGCCCACAGGCACTTGGAGCAATTTAGCCTGCAGTCACGCCACATGCACGCTGGCGCACATTTACACGCACGCGCACACACACGCACACGCACGCACGCACGCACGCACGCACGCACACACACACACACACACACACACACACATATATACACTATATATATATAAATATATAGCGCGTGCGTGCGTGCGTGCGTGCGTGCGTAAATGTGCAGCGGCATGCATGTGGCGTGACTGTAGCCTGAAGAGCTCCAAGTGCCTGTGCCTCTGTCTGCACTATATCCCCTCCACCCTGGCACCCATACAGAGCAACTAGCTACACTCCACTAGTGATAGTCAGCGTAATGAAACGTCTTTAGCATCTTGTGTTTTGCTGGCTTGCGTCAGCTATATACGGACTAGACATAGTAGTGGTTATATGATAATAGATATACTATATATATATATCAGGAGTAGATAATAGGGAATCCCTATTAATAGGGGATTCCCTATGATCTACTTCTGATATATATGGATAGGTAAATAGATATATCTGTGATGCGTACATGGATAATTCGCATTGTTAATGAATAATGACCCGTGGAAACCATATAACGTGTAATTGTGCGTAAACGCAAGTGGTCACTTTACACAGATATGCAAGCTAGACTCTAGAGCTCCACCGTGGAACGCATATTGGACATTACACAATAACTTGCGTCACACCATGAAAGGATTTCGTGTGATACTTCGACGAAGGCGGCACAGCAGTGATCACAATTAAGACTATACTAGAAGTTAAGCAATACCGTTAAACCCTTATTATACTCATGTCATGATGCACAGTACACTATCACAGCGCACGATGCCACTGAAAGTACTGTACACTCATTTGAAATCACCCTGACTCATGAACGCTGTCAGTGAGTAATGCCCATAAAAAGACTAATAACTGGACTAGGCACGCAACCGTAGGTTCTGTACTAGAATATTGGCCTGGAAGATGATTGAGATGAAGAACTGACTGGAGATTCCAGTAGTTCATAAACTGGTGTTTATAATATGCTAATGTTGGTAGTTAGCAGTAAGGTTTCGTACTAACCCTAGAACCTTATAACAGACCTTGACCAGATCGTGATATACGCCAATGTTGGTAACTAGCAATAAGGTTTCTCCCTAACCCTAACCTTAATCGTAGATCTTTACCAAAAGTAAGTATCACGAATCGTAAAAAAACTGCTTGTCGCAACGCAACTAACACAACCAGCTAGCCCGGCCAGGCTCTCCGACTGTTACACGGCGTAGTGTTAAGGGAGACGGAAACTTGTGGCTACCAAACAGCCTGCTTCACACATGACCCAATGCTTACCTACAGCCTCACGACACCCTCCCCCCTCCACACTCTCAAGTTTTAATTTATTCACATCATCGCGAGCCGATGTCATAAGTAGGGTGTGGAGCACGATCATTTTCTTACACACGCCAGCAGAATGTTTTATGCAGCAGCTGAGTATTTGCGAACGAGCGGTCGCCCTCTGATCGAACGTTTATTGATCGGGCAATAATATCAAATTCATATTAAAATAAAAATCACAACGTCCTGTGTGCTAATCACAACAGGTCACCGTGTTTGCCAACTAGTGACAGATCGATCGACAATTCGGAGAGACCGCTCTCCCCATTATAGCATTACACTCGAACTCGCTACAGCAGTCGTGCGGACGTAGCATGGAGAGAAGATTAGATTACCAACCCACAGCTAAGGCTTGGCTACTCCCTATCGCGTGATTTATTTCCCTGACGTTGTAGGAACTCGGCCGTATCGTGTGGATCGGCATCGGGAAGAGGGGGGGGGATGCGTTCTGACAGATAGAGCGACGATATACAGCATGTAACTGATAACCACACCCGTCGTTGGGTTTTAACACCTCACGGTCGCTATCCCTATCCCTATCCCTAACCCTACATGTGTTAACAATGTATTATTAATTTTCAATTTAATTTAATTCATTTTATTTATTAATTGATTTAGGGTAGGGATTCTAAGCCTTTTATTTCTAAGCGACTTTTGTCTTCACACTGCCGATTGTCGGTTGTATAATTGGGAAGTTGGTCTAATTCGCCAATTTGTCTTCATAAAATCTGTAGTGTAAACCCAGCTTTACATTAATCCCACACGTGCGACTGACAGCCATTTAAATGGAACAGCCGACTCTGTTGCTGTCATCATTGAAAATGAGAGTAAGTGTATCAAAGGCTATGCGTCGACAGTACGATTTACCAGCGCGGACTACAAATTTAAAGCAAGATACTAATTAATCCAATTAACATGACAGCAGTGTAAAACGTAATTAATAACTTTGGATTAATACATAATTAAAAACTTTCTCCATGAGCAGACGGGTATTTCTTGGCTATATCGCGGCACTGGATCAGTAACTAAACTTGTGTGCTTATCTTAGTGTTTATCTGCTTAACATTTGCTACTAAAGTACAACCGTTTGTTAGCCACAAAAACACGAGGCTACAGACCGTAAAATGTAAATGCATCAGCGTAATGACTGTACAGTGTACAGACCATGACATAGCAACATTCAGGTATGACATAACAGATGTATACAGCGACACCAACTCATTACTACTACAATGTAGCGAGCTTGGTTGACAGGGGCCAAGAATGTGTCACCAGGTTTAGCGCGTGGTATGCAGTAACAAGGGTGAACTACAGAGAATTTCACTCTATTGATTACATACACTTGTAATTCTATATACGCGCTCAGTGAGGCAAACATGCCAAACATGTTTTTGCTTCACACAATTTTTTGAACAACACTAGAGGCACCAAACCACCCTTCCACTCACAGATGTAACACAGGCAAAAGCCATAACATGACAAAGAAATTGTGTAGTACATATACATATATCTGTGTAAACATATATCCTAAAATTCAATTTGAATATAGAAAGGTTCCCAACCTTTAATGCAAAGCATTGCAGACTCCGCCTCGCTGTAAGGTCCCACCTGCGTCTCGGAACCATCGAACGTTACCGCAGCAACCCTGAACTGTAAAGCAAATCCACGTCTTAGCATCCAAATAATTCACAGCCATCTATTCGTCTGCAACCGAGTAATACTGAACTAACAATATCATCTGGCAAACGAATCCGTTTACCTCGCAAGTACTGCTGCAGCAAATTACGGATGACATATAGGCTATTACCCGAGGAAATATCCCTCGGTAATATGGCGAACTTGCTGTCAATCCGTAAGTTAATTACCAGCTCTGAACACTAGTGATATTTCCCATAGTAAGACAGCAGGCCTACAGCTCCTCCCCTGCCAAATCTCATGCTGATTTGACTAACGCGACTGCAGATAAAACCTATTGTTCGAACAGAAATTGCACTACGTTTGATAACAGATCTATTCGTCCGAGCGTGATGACCACGCCCCACCTCACCTAACTGACAAGCCCCCCTACAGGGCGGTGCACACAGCGGCAGCCCTTCCCCCAGGGGACATGGGACACGGCCCTAACCTCAACCTAACCCTAACATAATCAAACCTTATCCTCAACCTAACTGTAACTTCTACCTAACTTAACCCAACCCTAACCTTAACCCTAACCAAACATTAACTTAACCCAACCCTAACCCCAACCTCAACCTAACAAACCCCTAACCTCAACCTAACCCACCCGAACCTCAACCAAACCTAACCCTAACCTCAACCTAGCCTCAACCTAACCCTAACCAAACCCTAACCTCAGCCTAACAAAACCCTAACCTCTACCTAACAAAACCCTAACCTCACTCAACCTAACCAAACCCTAACCTCAACCTAACCAAACCCTAACCTCAACCTAACCAAACGCTAACCTCAACCTAACAAAACCCTAACCTCAAACTAACCTCATCCTTACCATAACCCAACCCTAACCTCAACCTAACCCTAACCTCAACCTAACCCTAAACTCAACCTAACCCTAACCTTACCATAACCCAACCCTAACCTAACCCTAACCTCAACCTAACCCAACCCTAACCTCAACCACGTAAGCAAAAGAGCCTCTGCGGTGCAGACACCCCGCACCCCCGGGAATACTCCAGGAGAGGCAGGAATACTCCAGGAAAGGTACGAATACACCAGGAGAGACTGGAATACTCCAGGAGAGGCAGGAATACTCCAGGAAAGGTACGAATACACCAGGAGAGGCAGGAATACTCCAGGAGAGGCAGGAATACTCCAGGAGATGCAGGAATACTCACGTCGTACTTGCGTTCACCGTCGCAGTCAACCACGACGAGCAACCCGGACGCGTTCGCGACATCAATCTGCTGCGTCACCTGCCACTCCTCTCCGCCATCGCCTCCCTCGCTCGCTGACACCTCGAGAAGAAAGTACTCGAGGTGTCCGTTGTAGTACTCCTCCTCCGCGACCTTCACCAGCACTCGGTCAGCATCCACGATCTCGATCGTCGGCGGGCCGAGCAGCGGCGGCGCTGTCGACGGGAAAGATGGCGCCGCCGTCAGTTGTAGTCGGCGTAGTCATAGCGCCGTGTCGCGTGCGAGATGTTAACGAATTTGTTAACGAACCGGTATGCTGCGAATACGCCGGGATTTTTCGCGAATCGTTTCCGTTCAAACGGACGTTTCGTTACGATAAAGACATCCGAGAATCGCATTTACGACGATACAATACGATACTTTTACAATGATGCACGGGCCTTGACCCCCCCCCCCCACCGCCGCAAATCGCGACGCAGTACCCCGCATGACCTGTCCTCCCGACAGTTCCACTGATGCAGCAGACATGCACAGAGCCCGACGCCGCAGGGACGACGTAGACTCAAGCGACAGCTACGCTAAGGGCCGCCACTTACCTCCTATCAGCGTCTCGGCGCCGACGGTGTCTGATGGCGCGGAGCATCCGGCGCCGTTGCAGGCGGTGACGGCGACCTCGTAGTAACACCAGCCGTGCAGTCCCGCGACCTCGTACAACAGCGAGCCGCTGCTGCCCCCCGCGTCCTCCGCGTCCGCCGCCGACACCGCGAACGTTCTGTTGTCGACGACATCGGAGCCGTTGTAGATGGCGCTGACGATGTACTCGGCGACGACGCCGTTGGGGACGTGCGGCGGTTGCCAGGCGACCATCATCGAGCTGCTGGTCGTTGTGACGATGGCGACGTTGTGGGGAGGGTCCGCCGGAACTGCACCATGGGGAAAAAAACAAGAGAGCTACAGTGACACGTGGATACTGGCATGAAGGATAGGAGAGAACGCACCAAATCAAAAGAATCGAAGACAAGTCTACACAGTGCAGGTGTAATTTGGCACCAAGGACAATTTTGGCATTTCCGTTAAGTGTTATACAGTGGAACCTCCTCTGCGGAACGGACACCTGTCTATAAAGGACATTGTTGGCGTTCCCTCATTGAGTGGTATCTACATACTATAACCACATCTAACGAATCGACCCCCCACTCAAACACAAGAGGCCCACAGAACGGTCGCCACGACGACGGCCGCGACAACGACGGTCTCACCGGCTTCCATAGTCGTCTCGCTCTTCATGTTGTTGACGCCGTCCTCGACGCCGCCGACGCCGGCGTGCGTGAAGGCGAGCACGTAGAATCGGTACGTCGTGTAGGGAAGCAGGCCCGTCAGCTCCACACTGCGCTTCGAGATGCCCTCCACTCGCGTGCTGTTCCAGCGCAGGTCTGCGAAGGAAAACGCACACACCATCGTCACGACAACACACACGAGGCACCGTCGATCGCGCAGATTACCTCATACACAGGGTGAAACTAATAGTAATACAATATATGATGTAATGTAATTGACGCTCGCTGGCTCGCTCACACGCCACGCCACATTATCCCTCACACCATGCCACACCACACCTCACAACACGCCACACTATGCCTCACACCACGCCACACAATGCCTTACATCACGCCACATTATGCCTCACATCACGCCACACTATGCCTCACACCACGCCATACTATGCCTCACACCACGCCACACTATGCCTCACACCACGCCACACTATGCCTCACACCATGCCACACTATGCCTCACACCACGCCACACTATGCCTCACACATGCCACACTATGCGTCACACCACACCACACTATGCCTTACATCACGCCACACTATGCCACACACCACCACACTATGCCTTACATCACGCCACACTATGTCACACACCACGCCACACTATGCCACACACCACACCACACTATGCCTTACACCACGCCACACTATGCCTCACACCACGCCACACTATGCCTCACACCACGCCACACTATGCCTCACACCACGCCACACTATGCCTCACACCGCGCCACACTATCCCTCACACCACGCCACACTATGCCTCGCCCCACGCCTCACACCACGCCACACTATGCCTCGCCCCACAGTAACCAGCATCATTGCTTACCTGGGCCGCTGCTCTGCGCCTCGGTGTACTGAACGTAGTAGCCCTGTATGAGACCCACCGCGTCCGCACAGTTCTCAATCTTCGACCAGCTGACCGTCAGCGAGCGAGACGTCTTTCCCGCCGCGCCGAATTCGGGCGCGACCTGAGGCACTGTGGGTAACAAACAACAAACCAATCACATTCGCGCGAACAGTCGCACAGATAGAAACGACTGCGAATGGCTTTTCCCGATATTCTAAATGGGCAAATATACAAAAACGCATCTATGTAGCGCTCAAAATTGTACGTTTTTAAAAGGCATGAGCAGTTTTTTTTACAGATATGTTTCATGTCGATAGTAACATGATAGAGTGATAGGTAGATATGGATAGAGCCTAACAATAACCGCATTTTCAAAAGAACGAGCAGCCTTCTATAACTACATTATATATATATATAGACATATATATATATATGTCTATAGCTATAGTGTGAACCGGCGTTATCCTCCGATAGGTTTCGTGTTATAGCATATAATAGGAGCGAATATATATATATATATAATATAAATATATATAATATATATATATAATAGAAGCGAAACATAGCTTTCTACATGAGAGAGTCCCCCCAAACCCTGCTAAACACCAGCCGATGTCACAGCAGAGGTGGCCAACGATTCCAACGTTCACGCAAAACGATGCTGCCGATTCACGAGGCAGAACGAGCCCCTACCTCCATTGTAGATGTATGTGCACGGACTCCTCTCCATGCCACTAGATGTCACCGCCGTGTCCGCCGACACCCAGAACTGTAGAGTCATGTTCTGTGCGTAAGGCAGCACCTTGTTCCACTGAGCCTCGCTAGCTGGTATGATCTCCCATTGCAGCTCCGAATCCGGCTTGCAATCTACATGCAAAAATGTCACAACGGCAGATAAATAATACGAGCGCGTACGAAAGACAAACCGGTTCGTCCTCCACACAAACGCATCAACGAAGGCGTGGCAACCGGGCAAGAATTACACCCGATACACTATAATATGCAACGCGATATATGCGCTACATAATGTGAAACGTATCAAAATTCTCATTATATAAGTTCAAAACTCGTTTTCGTTATCGGTTTCATGACGAAACCTAAGCACTGGGTGCTAGCCATGCTTCTATATATACCTGTCCTTCCACCTGACATTGATAAAACATACCTGACGTTGGTGGCATGACATCACACCACATGATAGTATAGGTAGAGACGGACAGCGTAGGCGATTTATCCCACGTCACCTCATACTCCTCTCCTCTATTCTTCACGGCTAGTGGATTACCAACTTTAGCCGGCACTGAAAGCAACGAGTGGGATCACGTTCAGTTGCCAACAAGTGCAATCGAGAAACAAAAAATATTCGATATAAAACGAAGGGTGGCACGCATTTTCCAGCACAAGCGCGACCGTGGCGTTAAACTTACGGTCGCTCGCTTTGCCGATGTAGATATGGCTCTTATTGTCCGACTTTCCGACGTGGTTTTTCGCAATGATGTCGACGCTGGAGCCGCAGTGTTTGCTGGCCATGAACGTGTAGGACGTGGAGGTAACCGTGGTGTCCTGCCGCAACTCAAGCTTGCACTCGCTCTTCACAGACAGCGTGTAAACAAAATTCTTGCCATTCCTGTCCGATTCTGCCACGTCCTGCGGCACGAAACAATGCTTGTTGAATGCTTGATAATGTGTGAACGTGTGTCGCATTACGTTTGCTATAATAACACTTCTAATATATGCACATATATATATATATATATTATATATATACTGTGACACCTGAACCAGAAATTTAGTTTTACCTGCCAAAAGATCGTAATATTTCTCATATCATCACTGTTCACCGACTTGTAAGCTCCCTGGACGATGGCAGGAGCAACATAGGGAACTGCAAACGTCATCAAAATTACCCATAATTGAGGTTTAGTAATATATAGTACACAGAACTACACAATCAGTAAACAAATGGACACCGTGGATATCGCGACATACAATATACAGACTATCAATTCATCTCATATTGGACCCTTGTTCAACAGAAGACACAATCAAACGTATGGCATTAAAAATACAGAAGGGAGTTGTAGTACATACCATCGGCAGCAGTTTTATTGATAATAGAGCTGTAGTTGCTCCAATAGTAATTGTTGACACGGTCCATGCGTGTTCTCAGGTTTAATGTGTAGTCGGTATAGGGAATCAGGTCGGAAATTGTGGCATTCAAATAATGCCCGACATATATTTCCTGGGGCAAAAGAACGTCATAATTATTCACGAGTGAGCTCAGTTCGCTCGCATCAACGCACATAGGAAGCTTAATAAATTTTAACAATTCTTACATACTAATAACCGATTAGTCATACTCAACAAATTTCATATGATTTTAAATAATAATTTTATTGAAATTATGGGATGTCACAAATTAGGTTCAGCTTTGAACATGTCTGACTCATTATACGTTAATTGCCCAGGAAGGACCCTGTATTCATACATCAACACTTACCATAGGACTGCTCTTGTCCCATTCAGACCAGTATTTCACTTCGTAGGCGAGCTGTGCTCCATAGGCACGCATTCCGTAAGGATGGTTCCAGGTCAGGTCAAAGCTGCTACTTTCAACAGAGTTCTTATCGACCTTAAAGTCCTGTGGCAGATCAGGCTTGACTGTAAAAACAAGTGTGAGTGGAGAATGAGTAACAAATATTGGCTCCTGGTGTCCTCACTCTCTGGCATGCCGGGGTCTGGAGTGCCGGGGGTGGATTTTCTACGGCCCGTCGGGCTTGCTAGTATTAGAAATGTCAGGCTCGAGCCTTAAAATATGGGCATCGGGGCCCCTTATGATTTCGACCCATGTTTTGGAAATCAATACAAATGATTACGCTACGGCGCTTTTGGATACTTACTAATGTCATCATATATGACATGGTATGTTTCTTCCTTCCATCCGACGTCATTGATAATTCGTATTTTGACATCATAGTTGTAGTCGGGATGAATGTCACTACCAGAAATATAGCACACGTTGTCCCCCGTATCTTCAGGGCAGTCCTTCCATGGTATGATGTTGCCACTAACTGACTTCATACTGAAAACAGGAAAAAGCGTATGCTATTAACGACCACACATGATAATGATTAGACTAGCCAGACATTCACCATTACTGTACCAATGCCACCAAGTTTTATAACAGAATGCCACAGTACAGGCAAGATAAAGTAAACATTTAAGAGTATCACTAGCCACCTTCATGTTTATATTAGCAGCATGTCCAGGTTATGTACTACTGGGTGGTTCGCTTACACGCTAGCTTTCAACTTCCATGCAAAAACGTCTAGCCACTATAAATGTAGCATGCGCCGAGCAGCAGACACAGATATTCTAACAAGAGTAGCTATTACCACAAACTATATTTATGCAAAATCAACCATTAGACATACCCATGCAACATGGTTTCATAATTTAATTTTACACACGCACACAACTAAATTGCGGTTACATCGTAGTTTGAAGACGTACAAATAGCATGTACACATAATTATAACAACAAGCATTATCGAAACTCAAACCAGATCTGCACACATTTAAGCACTTCAGTGGCATACGATTTTAAACACAGGAAACACTTGGTGTGGAAGCACATTTACTTTCACTAAATAAAAACCATTCATGTTCAGCTTACAGATCAGGGTTCAAAGCTACCACTGGAAGTCACTACCTTTGCAAAATGCGATAAATAAATAACAGCTGCAATTTTACTACACTAAGTGGCGAATACAAATGGCGAATGGCTTAAATGCTCACAAAATTAAGACTGAATAAAGAAATCGTCAAATATCATTGTTGTATTGTAAAAAAAATTTCTACACCTCTTTTCCCATACCCATTACCTGTTTATGCCTTGCTTAGCACATACAATAAAGTGAACTGTGGCTATAGTTTTTCAGTGGTGGCTAAAAAATAACTTTGGTGGCTCAAGTCTTGGATCACACTTTTTAAAACATCCAGAGGGTTTTTTGTTAGCAGAAAATGCAATTCATACCAGCTGTTACTGTTATGCTTACACTTACCACATGACCAGCGGACACTTACCTAACTTTATATGACACATTATATAAATATGCCTGATCATCCCCTGGAACCCAGCTTATCGTCATATCTTGGGCATTTCTAGATACAAAGCTCACGTTCTTCAAAGGTGCAGGTTGTGCTAGAACATTAAAAGAAATCATACATAGAATATACATACTTACTACTTACTACTTATTATAGTGCAGGGCTACTGCTGGCTGGCATTTGCCACCTTCACAAAATGCGATAAATAAATACCAGTGGCGACTTTACTTTACTAAGTGGCGAATACGATTCATTGGCGAATGATTTAATCGCTCACAAAATTACAAGTGAATAATGAAATCGTCCTCAAAAAAGTTTTTCATATACGCACTACTTTCAATCGTTAAAGGAGAACACTAGCATTATGCTGCATATAAAAAAATTTCCCCACTATTCAACAACATTACATGCAGATTTTTGCCATTGAATCTTATTTAGATTTAACCATAGTTAAAACTCCGAAAAATAAAAAAAACACACTCAGTATTTATCTACTTCCTCAGCGAACCAAAACAATATTTCCCTTTAAGATTAGCCACCGCATATCAATGCGTCCAAGAAACGCGAGCGCCAGAGTGGAATCAATCGCAACAGTAGGAGCCTTCCACCGCATCTACAGTATTGTAAGTCTTTCCTACTTGTCAATCGAAGACAGAAATCAAGAACGAAGAAAGTCAGAATCAAGAAACGAGACAAGTCGCAGCCGAATGAAACGAGATGCAGGATTCTTCGACCGCGTCTACAATACTCACAATAGATGTAGACGTTCCTGAGGCCTGGCAGGTCGTCCCACGCCACCTGCAGTCGGCAAGTAACCATGTAGAGCGTCCGGCATCGTCGTGCTTGCTCGCGGCGACGACGTACAGCTGCACGTGCGAGGCGTCCGATCATCGTCACGTCGCTGTCGTTCACTGCCGACTCCGTCGCCCTCGGAGTACCTCATGAAGAAGGGCAGCGACTGGCCCGCGCGTCTTCCGGCGCGCACGTTATGTTAAGCTCTCACCCTCTTCTATCGTGATGTGCATCCTCGCGTGATTTCTGCGGAACGTGTCGACGATGAGCCGCGATTCAGGCTCCGGATCGACGTAGGGACGTAAGCCAACGCGAGAGTATGTAAGCTACATTGGTTGGCTTACGCGAGATGCAACACATATTTGAAGCAATCTGTAGTTTCTGGCCATCAATTAGTAGTTCGAGGGTCACTACGTGACCCGAGGTTGCTAGGGGGGGGTCAGCTGCCCCCATG